AGATTGTCGGAGATCCTGGACAATGTTGCAGACGACGTCGGCGTTTTATGTCTCCAGGAGATACGACTCCCTGACATGAGGCCGAGGTGGCTGATCAACTTCTGCGCTCGACGAGGGTGGGGTGCAGCATGCTCGAAGCCCCCTCCTCCTGGGGCGAGAGTAGCAACGACACAGGGCGGCTGTGCGATCTTGTGGCGACGGGCCATGGGAAAGATCAGCGTCATCAGGGACGACAAGCTCGACCATCGGATGGTTGGGATCAGAACTACCAAAGCGACAATCTTGAGCATGTATGGACCACAGTGGTACGATCGATCATGGTTTTCGTCAGCTCTGGATTATGCCAAATCACTGGGCCATCTGGGCCATCCCCTCTACATCATAGGGGACCTCAATTGGAAAGATTCATATAATACTTTATTAGACATCGGATGGCAGCTGGACATATCGCATGACCAATCTACTCAGGTGACCACAGCGGTCGGTACAGCTCCGACAAGGGCGTTATCTTGGGGAAACCCGCAGGATGCCCCACCCAAGTACCTGGGCGCCAAGCTCTTGCCAGGGGTCCCCCACCACGCAATGGTCAAGTACCAGTTGGAGATACCATACGTTACTATCCCACGGTACCGACTACACCACACGGCTTCCTTTCTACCTGTGGTCAACACCAGGACGGTTACGGCCGAGTACAAGAGCCTCTTGAAGGAATCGCTAGATGCAGTGTGCGCGGCTCCCCATATTAGTGGGGCCATCGACCTGGATCTCAATGACGACACGGATGTCCCGCTGGTCACGAGATGGCGCTACTGGCACGAGCGAGCAGAGGCAGCACTCAACATCGCAGTGGACAAAAAGCTGGTAGAGATTGACCGCCTACCTGAGAGGAGCAAGGGCTCCCAACCCACGCAGAGGCCAGCGGCACATGGGCCTCGGTTTCGACCAGAACAAAGTATTGCACACAGGCGTCTTCTCCGCCTCCATCGTCGCTTCTCGGAGGCGCTCAGGCAGGGAACTTCAGCAATGGCTGAGGTCTCTCCACGACACTTCATGGATATTGCCAGAGCGGCCTTCGAGGGTATTGTCAACATGAAAGCAGAAGGTATTCCTTGTTATGCGGATTGTCTCCAGTGGCTGACGGCAGCCATATCGGCGGATAATATTAAATTGCAACGTGAAGCCCAGAGATCCTGGAAAGAAAAATTTGCAGCGTGGTCCACAGAGGTGTATAAGGTGGCCACGCCTATGTTCAAGCAAGCACCCCCGGCATCATCTTGCCACGTCTCGCAGTTCGCCGAGGAGTGGGAAGCACAGTGGAAGCCTGGGAATGTTGACAAACAAGCACACCTTCGAGCCTGGCAACATCGTGCTGATCAAGTTGAGTTCCCGAAGTCGACTTTACATGAGATGTGGCTGCCAACGAAGGAACAGTTTGATGAAGCGTTGAGAAGTTCAAAGGGTTGTGCTGGATTGGATGGGTGGTCCTTTAGAGAGATTCGTATCCTGGCGGACCTGTATCCCGAGATCATCGCAGAACTCTACACGCTGTGGTGTGATACTTCCAGGTATTGCATTGAACATGAGGGCTGTCCACCAGGAGAACTCCATGATCTGGTATTCGCCTGGAGAGTGGCAGGTATGCCCAAGGGAGAGGATGACACGAGGCCTATCAGCGTGGGCAGCGTGTTGCTACGTATTTGGCTCAGAGCATTGGCATTTGCAGCTCCTGAGCCTCCAGAGGGCCAATGGGCTAATCGAAAGCATGTATCAGTCACCCACGCGATCAGCCAGTGGTTGCGACATTGCGAATTGAGCTCGGACGGATGCGAATTGGATCTCAGCCGCGCTTATGATAATATCCTTCATGAAATTGCGAGTGCTGCAATGGAGCGTTCACGTTACCCTCTGGCAGTACGATATGTATGCAAATCGGCATGGAAAGGCCCTCGTTGGTGCAGCCTCAACGGAGAAGTGGCAGAGAGGGCAATATACGCAGACCGAGGCTTGCCACAAGGAGACAGCACAGCACCTGGGACCATGATCAGTACCCTGGTTCCTTGGATCACGTCGGGCCCCTCGGGATGCTTTATGGATGACCGCTATATTGTTGGAGATAGCCCGCAGGGGCTGCTGGACGACATGGCTGAAGCATCTACCTTCGACAGTGACGTGGGTTTCAAAGCGAACAACAAGAAAACGCAGATATGGTCCACCATGGACGCGAAGCCGCAGCAGATCGAACACCTCGGTCTCCTTGCTTGTCCTACCGACATGACATGGGCCATCATACCAAAAGACAAATGGGCTAAACTTCACACTGGGATTTCTATTCTTCAGTCTGTTCCTGGATCTTGCATGGTGAGATTGCGACTGGCCTATACATACCTAAGACCTCTATGGACGTGGGGAGCCCCTATCGTGACGCCCCCACCGACAGCGACGGCAAAGCTTTTGGCGAGAGCAGTGTGGCGCACCCAGAACACATGGTGGTGCCTGGGCAGATGGTGGTGCCAGAACATCATGCTCCACCCCGTCTACTCTTGCAGCCTCTTCGCCTTCAGACGTTTACATGACGAAAAGTTGATTTGGTCATCTTTCCTAGAGAACTCGATCCAAGTACACGCCCGAACGTTGGGATTGGAGTATATACGATTTTCAGAAGAAAGGGGTGTTTTACTGGAAGTCTCTTCTATGGACGACTTCAGAGTATTGCAGATTGTGGAAGGTTTGGCGGACGCTCAGCTCAGATTTTGGACACACTCCAAGCGTGCACAACACGTCCTTCGAGTCATCGCAAGGATCAGGTGCCTTCAAATCGTGGAGCCCCGCAGGAAAGACTCAGAGGAGGTCGAGTCGGTGGACGTCGACGCCTGCAGCAACAAAGTTTTCACAAAGTGGTTTCATTCCTTGAGTATTGCCGAGAAGTTCAGCCTCTCCGTGTTCCGTTCAGGGGCTGCTTCATCGGAGACACGTCGACAGACGGGGCTACCTTGCCCACACTGCGGCCATTTGTGGCCATCCATCCGACATCAGGTCGTGGAGTGCCCACATTGGGATGGGCTTCGAGCTGATCTATCATCAAAGTTTGTTTTGCCGCCTACTTTCTGGACCAGCCTCCCGCGGGTCTCTGCCAAGAGTGGGTGGATAACGTATGCGGCAGACCCTGCATCAAATGTCAGAAGGGCTACCATGCTGAGGGCCATCTGTGAGATGGGAATCGGCATCATTGGCAGCGGACTGGAAGGACGACTTCATGACCCTGCACCGCTTCCCGTGCGGCGCAGAGTTCGTGTTGCTGCGTAACTACCACGCGTGGATCTACCCCATGGTCAGGGTATTCCACCTCATCTTCTATATCGTTGTCAACATCGTCACTGGCACCGCTGCTATCATCGTCGCGTCTACTGTTGTTGACGTTGCTGGAGTGCCGCGCCCGCTCAAGTCGCCGACTCGCGCTGGAGTGCCCGCTGGGACGTGCCCAGCGGCTAGCGCAGCCGCGGCCGCGCCGGTCTTGCCAAACTAGCTGGCCGCTGCGCGCGCGTGCTTGGGTTGGCTCGGACGCAGAGATGCACCGGCCAACGCCAAGCGCTCATCGCAATCGCCACCGCGTGGGTTTCGCAAACCAAGTTGCGGGTGGGTGGGTGGGATGTTTGCAAAAACATGGAGTGTGTCAACTCGTTTGTGAAAATCTTTTGCCCTTCGACTCTGCCCCCCCGGGATTGTCGTTCCCCCTCTTCGTATTGCAATGTGCATCTGATTCTGTCCCATCGTCCATCCTAAAGATGATTTCGTACCATCCCAGCCAGGCTGGCATTGACCCCCCGTAATCCTCTTGCAGCAGTTCTGAAGCTCGCGCGTTCGTTTATCTGACATCACAAGTGTTCAAACATCCCTTGCAGCAGAATGAGACGATGAGCACGCGCGCGCGTTGTCGCGCGCGTGCCGAAATCTTTCAAAACTATTGGTTTCTTAAGTATTTCATAATCGAATTTCCCGGAAACTTATAACAACACAAGGCTTCGAAAACCAGCTTTTCAAACAAAGCTTGCGCGCGCGCTCTTGCGAAATCTTAAGAAAACCAGAAAGGTTTCTCAACTTTTTTATACTCTCCTACGCAACGGGCTTCGCGCGCGCATGCCGAAATCATTCGAACGCCCTTGCGCGCGTGCCGTAGCGAAAATCCTTTGCAACAGACGGGGCGACATGCACGTGCGCGCGTCGTCGCGCGCGTTTGCCCAAATTCGTCAACCACCATGGGTTTCGAGAGGCTTTCGCAACCGAGTGTCACGAAACCACAATCAACGTATGGTTTCGCAGTCGCAGTTTTCAGCAAATCTTGCGCTCGCGCTCGAACAAGTATAGGTTTGCAGCATTTTCATGGAATTCTGCCAAATGGGCCTTTCGCGCCGCATGCCGAAATCATTCGCGCGCCCTTGCTCGCGTGCTGGTGGGGCACGATGCGTGTCACATTATTATCATGCGGGCCATTTTCGCGCTCGTTGGCCGTGCGCGCATGTCGAACTCCATCCAAAACCTTCATCACTGACGCGAGTACGTCGTCATCGTCGTCGGCGTGATCAGCGTCGGCGCCGTCACTGGCCGTGCCGTCGTTGTTGTCAACATCGCCACCAACATCGCATCTATCATACTCGTGTTTACTATTGTCGGCGTTGCCATGATACCGCGCCCGCCGAAGTCGCCGACTCACACTGAAGTGCCCGGTGGGATGTCCCCAGCGGTCAGCGCCACCGCGGCCGCGTCGGTCGCGCCAAGCTAGTTGGCCGCCGCGCGCAAGTGCATGCGCGGGCTGGCGCGGTCGCAGAGAGGCACCAGCCAACGCCAAGCACTCATGGCAATCGCCGCCGTTCATGTTTTGCAAGACGGGTTGCGGGTGGGTGGGTGGGATGATTGCGCGAGCAGTGGAGTTGTCACTTGCGAAGTCCCCAAGTGAACTAACTAAATATATTGCACCACGTTGCACCACGTAGATTGCTTAACGTCTGTTCTCTTTTCTTACCGGCATGCAGATTCTTCCGTGGCCGCTGTGGTTCGAGCGCCTGGGCGGCCACGGGGCGGCGTCCTGCCGCGAGTTTCCCGCAGGTTGGCGGCACGAGGTGCCCCCGTTCCGCCGCGGGGCCATGGCCGATTCCAGGAGGTCGTCGCTGGCGTCCGATGCGTTTGAGCACGTGCGCCAGAGGTCTTCGCAAACGCCGCCCCAGCGGGACATCGAGGCTGAGCGGCTCTGGTGGTCGGAGGCGGTGCTGGGGGCGATCCAGAAGATGCTGGCGGAGCAGACGGGGCAGCTGCAGGCCAGCGTGGCGGAGGAGGCTCAGAAGCAACACGCGATGACGGCGCAGGTGCAGAGGCTGCTGGCGGAACACATGCGGCAGCTGAAGGGCTGCGTCGAGGAGGAGGTCCAGAAGCACACGCGGGAGCTGCAGGCCCCCCTCGCGGCGCTGGCCTCGGGGGGGCGCGCCGCGCCCACCCCGGGGGGGCAGCAGGACCACGAAACCGCGCCGCGAGGCCGCCTGGAGGAGCTGCTGGAGCGCGAGGCGGAAGAGCGGCGCGCGGGGGAGACAGGCCTGCGCGAGATGGTCCAGCAGCAGGGGGGGGCCCTGGCCCGGATCGAGGCGCTCTTCGAGCCGCCCAGCGATGCCAGCGCGCCAGGGACTCCGCCGCCGGAGTTGGAGACCGCCATTGATGGCGAATCAGTCGAGACCAGAGACCCGTTCGGAATGGCGACTTTGTCTGCTTCGCTCACTTGCCGTTTCCATGAAGACCGTTCTTGTCGCGCCATCTGCGAGGGCGTGTGCAAGAGTCGCAGCTTCGTTGTGTGCACTGCGTGCGTGATTGTAGCAAATTGCGTGTACCTAGGGTTTGAGGCGAACGCGATCATGACCTCTCCCAGCCTCGAGTTGCCAGAACATATCTCATGGCGACTCGCCAACTTGTTCTTTGCCTTGGCGTTTCTGGCAGAACTTTCGGTTCGCTTCATCGCCAGCGGTGCCAACTTCCTGGTAGCCCGTCGTCGGTCTGTTCTCTGGAATTGGTTGGACACGTTGCTTATCCTGTCCGCTGTTGCCGAGGAGATGCTCAGATATCTCTCTGTAGACGTGATAACCTTTGGTTTCCTGCGTCTGACTCGCCTTCTAAGGGTGACTCGGATGATGCGCGCGTTCAGGGTAGTCCGCGAATTTAAGGAGTTGAAGATAATGGTTACCGGGCTTGTAAATTGCGCGAGGCCCCTTTTCTGGGCTGGGGTGCTGCTGTTGGGTTTGACTTACATGATGGGGATTCTCATAGCTCAGCTCATCACTGAGTACTTGCGTTCAATCCAAGATAAGGAATTCGATGAAGAGAACCTGAAGGCGATGAATTACATCGCACAGCACTTCTCGAACTTATGGGAGAGCATGTACTCGCTATTCGAGGCCCTCACAGGTGGGCGGGACTGGGGTGATATTGCAGGTCCATTCAGGCACATACACTGGATATTGGTGTGCTGTCTTGTTCTGTATATTGTCGTCGGGGTTTTCTGCATTCTCAATCTGTTGACCGCTGTCTTCTTTGAGGCAGCAAATCGGGTAGACGACGTGCAGGAGCTCGTCTACAAAAAGAGGGATTGGGTGGCCGAGACCAGCGAATTCTTCCTGAATGCTATAAAGAACATCCCCCACACGCCGCACACGTCTACCTCTCTGGACTCACCGGATGGAAGCCCCAGGATCACGGAGGATGCTTTCATCAAGTTGCTGAGCAGTCAGAAGAACGTGAAGTTCTTGGAGGAATACGGGGTGGACCTTTTTTTTAGAGGCCGCACTGGCTTGAGGGAATTATTCCACATCATGGACGAGGATGGCAGCGGCACCCTCGACGTGAACGAGTTTGTAGCTTGCCTCTACAATCTCAAGGGGACTGCCACCTCTTTGGACTTGAAGCTGGAGAATCAGAAGCTGTCGCGATTGGTCCGCTCGCTGCACGAGCAGCTGCAGGTCACGCAGATCGTGCAGCCGCTGCGATGGACCCCTGGCAGCCCTTCCCCATCGCTGTCAACGCGTGCAAGCTTGAGGGCACGCACCAGCAAGAACTCCAAACAGGCAGATACGCCTCGCCAGGGTGGCTAAAATTCGACCCGCGTGCCTCTGCATGCCGTGGCCCCGGCCCCCGGCCGCTGCTCTTCGGAGCCTGCCCTACGTCGGGCCCGTCCCTCTACGGGAGGCATGCTCGCAAGTAGTCAAACAATAGTCTGGGGACGATGTTTTGAGCATTTTTGGGTATTTCTTTGAATATTCGTGGAATCTCTTCTGCGTGTCGTCCACAACCCGCCTGTAAGAGGACACGCCCGACCGAAAGCCTGCCCCGTTGGCGCTCCTACTGGGAGGGCCGCGGCGGACTGGCCTGCCCGTGCCTCGGTGCCCGCGCCTCCTGCTCCTCCTCCTCCGTGCCCCTCTCCCTGCCGAGGCGCGCCCGGAGCTCGGCAACTTGGCATCGCGCGGACGTGTGCATTTTTTCCTCGGCGAGGGTTAGGTCAGGCGTGTCCTCCTAAAGGCGGATTCTGGACGAAAAAGAACAGATAGTCGAACAATAGCCGACACATACCCCAAAATACTTGAAACAATCGTCCCCAGACTTTTGTTTTATATGAAAAAGGATATTTTTGAATGCTCCTCCTGTGGAGGGACGGGCCCGATTTAAGGCGAGGCCCAGAGCATCCCGGACCGTTTCCGAGCAAGCAGCGCGCGGCGCGAGACCGCAGCCGGGCACGGGGAGATCGGACGTCCGAGCGGTGGCCAGGCGAGAGGAGCAGGAGGCTGCAGACCCGACCTGTCGGGCTGCTGCCCTGCGTGGGGGGGGGGGCCTCTCCGCTTCGTGCACTCGAGCTCTGCCTTCGCCTTCGGCCGTGATGCACTTCGGCGCTCCTGCGGGCCAGCTCGCCCTGAGCGGGTTTGGACAGAGCAGGGCCGCCCTCTACCGTTCTCAAAATTCTGGACGCTTCGCGGTTCCCCACCAGCCCATCCAGAAGAAGATCGCTGGCGATTTGGTATCAATGCCCCGGCACTGCTTCGACAGCCAGGTAACATACGGATGATGATGAGAGGGGAGGGGGCAGGAGCGGGGGGTACGGGGGGCGACGCGCACTATCTGCTATCGCGTGTGGGATGCAACTGAGGCGCTGCGCTTTCCTTCAGGAACGCTGCGCTCCTCCTCCTAGGCTTCCTGCCAACGTTTCCTCCTCGATGCGCGGCCTTGGGTGCGTGCGTGCGCCCGGGAGGGGGGACAGGATGCAGCGGGGGGGAACCATGCTGCGCTGCCCGGCCGAGGTTCGGCCGTTTCGCTGCGCGCCGGCCGTGATGCCGCGCCGCGCAGGGCGAGGGCCAGGCCGCTCTGCACCCCGGCTTGCCTGCCTTTCGTCATTCTCCTCCTCCTCCTCCTCCCATCGTGGCGCTTCTCCTTCATTCACCGAGCGCGTTCCACTACTCGCAAAGCGCCTACTCGCAAACGTCCGACTAACACATGTCCGCTTTGATGTAATGTATCGCAGATCCTCCGCGTGGGATCCAGGCCATTTGCGAGCAGTTCCTTTGCGAGCAGTGGAACGCGCTCGCCTATTCATCCATCTTGCCTCACGCCTGCACCGAATTGCCGATGTTTTCCCTGATTCAATCCCGAATTCGTCGGCGCATCACGGCGCCACCGCTTCGCTCCTCGTGGGGCCGAGGCCCTGGCGCGTACGTGGAGCGTCCGTCCGTCCGTCCTCCTCCTCTTCTCCTTCCTTTCTCGGCCGTCCAGCACCCTCGGTGCGGTACGGATTCCCCAAATCGAGGTTCACGGGAGCATGTGAAAGCCAAGGGGTTTGCAACAGTAGGTTAAACACAATATCAGCCATCGTGGGCCCCAAGCAGTGCGTTTCGAGCAGAGCATGTTGCACAATCTAGGTGGAGCAGATCTATTTGGTGCAGTCTACGTGGTGCAATATAGATGGTGTAGCTTTTCTGGAGCAATGTGTGTGTGTGTGTGTGCTGCCGTCTATGTGGTGCAATTTATGTGGTGCATCATCGGTTGTGCAAGTTAGGTGGTGCAAACTATGTGGTGCAATCTAGGTGGTGCGCAATCTATGTGCAATCGACGTGGTTCGATATCCGTATGTGGTTCAGTGTACGTTGTGGAATATGTGTGGTGCAATCCATGCGGTGCAATCGATGCTGTGCAGTCTATGCGGTGCAATTCACTTTGACCGTCTTGAAGCTGTCCTCTCCACTGCTCGTGCAAACATCCCACCCTCCCACCCGCAACTTGGTCGCAAGACCTTTTAAGACAAGACCGTAACGGTAGGTACCACATGGCACTTGGCCACGACACCGACGCCGACGACGACAGCGACAACGACGACGACGGCGCCGCCGCCGACACCGACTACGACGACGACGCCGCCGACGACGACGATGACAACGCCGACGACGACGACGCCGACGACGACGACGCCGACGCTGACGACGACGAAGACAACGACGACGACGACAACGACGCCGCCAACGAAGACGACGACGACGACGAGGGAGGAGGGAGGACGACGACGGCGACAACGACGACAACGACGAGGGAGGAGGGAGGACGGCGACGACGCGAACGACGAAGAAGGAGGGAGGACGGCGACGCCGACGACGACAACGACGAGGGAGGAGGGAAGACGACGACGATGACGACGACGGCGACGAAATAGGAGGGTCGACGACGAGACGCCGATGACGGACGACGACGTCGAGGGAAGAGGAAAGGACGACCACGGCGACAACGACGACGGAAACGACCACGACGCCAAAGAGGACGACGACGACGAACACGAGGAAAGACAGAGGACCACGTAGGCGACGACGACGACGACGACGCGGGAGGAGGGAGGACGGCGACGACGACGACGAAAACGACCACGCAAGAGCGCGCGCGCACGCTTTTGTTGAAAATCCGTGTTGCGAAACCTTGGGTTTTTGTAGGTTTTTTGGACACACGATTTTGAAATCATTCCGAAACCGATGGGTTTTGCAGGATTCCGGCATACGCGCGCGACGACGCGCGCGTCTGCACTTCGTCTCATTTTTTGCAGAGGACGCTCGCGACGGCACATGCTCAAGGGCGTTGACAGATTTCGACATGCGCGCGCGCGAAGCCCGTTTGGTAGCTTTTTGTAAAACTCTTGAAAAGCACATGGTTTTCTCACGATTTCGCAAGAGCTCGCGCGTAAGCTTCTTTAGCAACTCAGTGTTGCGAAACCTTTTGTTTTTGTATGTTTCTTTTGGAAGCTCGATTGCGAAATCCTTCGGACACCGAAGGTTTTTGAAGGATTTCGGCATGCGCGCGCGACGACGCGCGCGTGTGCACTTCGTTTCGTTTTTTGCAAGGGATTCGTGAACAAGTCTTATGTTAGAACAAAACATGTCCCCGCGCATTGTTTGTTACAAGGGAACTCAAGGGGGAGCGATACCGGTTCCCCTGGGACAGTATAAGTTCATGTTTAGGATTCACATGTGGTCAGGATCATATATGATTTTCATCCCCGAAAAGGGGGGCGGATAACGCCGGGGGGGGGGTAGAGTTTTTTGTTTTTATTATTCAAATAATACTACCATTAAAACATATTAAAAAGAAAAAAGAATCCAATGCTCAACTCGAAATTGCCAGCTCTACTGCTCGCGCAATCATCCCACACACCCACCCGCAAATTGGTTTGCAAAACCCTTGCGATGGCGATTGCGATGAGTGTTTGGTAATGCTGGTGCATTTCTGCGGCCGCGCCAGCCCGCGCATGCACGCGCGCGCAGCGTCCAGCTAGTTTGACGCGACCGACGCGGCCGCGGTGGCGCTGACCGCGGGTACGTTCCAGCGGGCGTTTCAGTGCGAATCGGCGACTTGGGAGGGCGCGGTATTCATGGCAGCGTCGGCAGCGGTAGACACGATGATGATAGTAGAGATGCTGTGAGCGACGTTGACAACGACGACGGCACGGCCAATGGCGGCGCCGATGCTGATCACGCCGACAACGATGAGAGCGTCCTCGCGTCCGCGATGAAGGTTTTGGGAGGAGTTCGACATGCGCGCGCGGCCGACGCGCCAGAGTGGCCTGCATGGTATTATTTGACACGGGTCGTGCCCCCTCCAGCACGCGCGCAAAGGGCGTTCGAATGATTTCGGCATGCGGCGCGAGAGGTCCGTTTGGCAGAATTCGATGAAACAGTTGAAAACAACGAAACTTCTCCCAACTATTCGCACAGAGCACGAACGCAGGCCTTTTTGAAAGCTGTCGATGCGAAACTGTATGTTTTTAGCTGGTTCTGGGACACTCGGTTTTGACATCCTTGCGGAACTTTGGATTTTTGAGAGATTTCGGCATGCTCGCGCGATGACGCGCGCGTGTGTATTTCGTTTCGTTTTTTTCGTAGGATTCTTGCGACAGCGCGCGCGCGAGGGGTTTCGGGCGATTTCGACATGCGCGTGCGCGAAGCCCGATTGGTATCATTTGATGAGCATGTGGAACAACTGCGGATTTTCTTAAGGATTCGTCAGCGCGCGAGCGCAAGTTTTTCTTTTTGATTGAATCCTTACTGCGAAACCATCGGGATTCCGCGAATTCTGATGAAAACGATAGGTTTTCCAAAATTCTCATAACAGGCTACCTAACGGGCCTCTCGCGCGCACATGTCGGAATCGCTCGAACGCCCTTGCGCGCGTCCTGTCGCAAAAACCCCTTGCAAGACATGGGACGAGGTGCGCGCGCGCGTGCCAAAATTTTTCAAACACCTCCGTATTCGTAAGGATGTCAAAACCGAGTGCCCCGAAAACATAGAACATATAGTTTTGCAATATTCGTTTTCAAAAATGCCCGCGCTCGCGCTCCTGCGACGTCTTCACACACATCTGTACACACATATGTGTGTAATATGTACACACATATGTGTGTGTATATTTTATATATATGTATATCTTCTTATATGTTTTCAAGCCCGGGCAGGGGGAAAACCCATCCCCCCCAAAAAAGACCGGACACCCGGGATCTGGGGCTTTGGGATCCTCCGGACGGGCCTCGAAGCGGCCCCCTGGGCCTCGCAGGGCGTTTTGCCAAGCCTTCCCAGCACACCTAGGGCGATCAGGGGGGTCATCGGATGCGTCCCAGAGGCCCCCAAGACAGCACAGGAGCGCTCCGAGTGACCGACGTAACCTCAAGATGACCCAAAAGGCCTCCAGGACGGCCCCAAAGAGGCCTCCAAGAGCACTCCCAAGAAGGCCCCAGGAGGCACAACTTTTTGATTTTCTGTTGGTTTTTGCTGAATTTTGGGTTCTCCTCTTTTCGGCTTCCCGACGCTCCAAGACGGCGGTCTTCTGGGCGTCCGAAGCCGCCTGGGAGGCTCCAACATCGCCCCACAACCATCCGAAAGGGCTTCCAGGCAGTCCAAGAGAGCCTCAAAACGGCACAACACGGGTCCAAGATGGCCCTCAAAGAGCCCGATGGCGGCCCAAGATGGCCCCAAGACACCCTCCGAAGCATTCCAAATCGTGACCCGGTCGTTC